ATTTTCGTCAATGTACTGTTCGTTGTTATCCTCTTCATAACAACGTCCATGGAAAAGGCCTTTAGAGAAAAACCTGGTAAAATACAGAAAAATGTGTAAGTAACAAAATATCGGTCGTATTTGGTGAGTCAACATAATATTGATGCTTATCATGATAGAATGGAATCATCGGAATCATCGATATTTTCAACTTGTGCAAACGACAGAGTTGCGAATCGGAATATATGTTCGTATGAATTTCTTCGGAATGGGCTATGTTAGTTTGCAAGTAGTGGTCTATGATGTAAAGTTTGACAGTACTTTGTCAGTTATGTTTATTTTAGTATAAACGATACTATGTTTATGCAAACAAAAATCTATGGCAGACAACGATACAAGTTTTAAATAAATACTCGCAGTTTTATTAGGAAGTGAGTAAACGTGCTCATTCGATCTGAACGCACGAATCTAAAAATTACCTTAAAATCAACAAATATTTCTTTAATAGGTGCCATTAACATATATTTACTTTAATCTAAATTCTCTTTATTTAAGTCAAGTATTGTTTACCTGATTAAACAATATTTGGTTTAAATAAAAAAAATTTAGGTTTAAATAAATATATTAATGGCACCCATAAAAGAAATATTTGTTGATATCAAGGTAATTATTTCCTCAGTGTACAAGAGAACAATGATTTTAAATATCGAAATCGCATTTGTATCATGTGGAAACATAAAAATAGCATTGATTTACTGAATTTACCGGATGCAAATCCTATCGAAAACGTTTGGTTCTTGATAAAGTTTAAACTTCATGGAAAAAAAATTTGGTCGGTCAAGGAGTTAGTTCGATAAATTTGATTATTATGGAGATTTTTACCTTAAGAATATTTTATAAAATTAATTGAAAGAATGCCTCGGAGATGCCAGACAATTATTGATAATAAAGGACAAGTTAGTAATAATAAAGCATCACAGTTCTAACCAAGTAGTATGTATATGTTTTATTCCAAATCATTTCAATAAATTATTTATCAAGTTTTATCGGACATGCTCTTATCAAACAGACTATATGTAACGGACGATGTCGTAAGTAATTGTCGTAACGAGGATGCTGAGCGGCGCCTTCAGTTTCTTCACAGCGCATTTGACAGGAAATTGAAATTCGCCGACCATAGTGGGTTGATACTCGAGCCTGTGATAAATTGTGAGTGCGTCAGTGCGAATGTCTAAAAAATTGTCAAGTTGTCGTCTCTTCTATTTACCATAGAATCTGTTCGCTTCTTGCGTTTAAAATTCCGCTCATAGGCATTATCTTCAAGTTCTGCAAGCGTCCCTCGGAATATAAAGAGTCGCGCACCACCTCAAAGTGCATTCGAAATTCCTCGTCGTTGACTATACATATTGACTCTCGCACGGTAACACCTGCGGGGTGCACAATAATATCGTTAGACGTATAAGTTTTTTTTTTCTGAGAAAAAGTCTAGTGGAAAGGATGATAAAATTGCCTCCAAAGATAATTTTGCCGTAGTTATGCAAGAATGATCCAATTCACATGAAGCACGTTTCGAGAAAAATGAAAATAAAAATTTTATACATGATTTTAAAAGTATAGATAGAGTGAGAATGTAAATACAAATACAAAATATGCAATTCTTCGCAATCGTTCAAAAAGTCAAGTATCGTCAATTTTCTTTTCTTTTAAGATATTCACTAAAAAGCTTAATTCGTATGAATGAAAAAGGACGCAATTAGCAAAAATGGTGCAATTATTAGAAAATAAAACTATTTTTAATTAATTTTAAACATCCATAAGGCTTGGAAAATAAAAACTGAAAAATTATAATTTTATGAGTTGGATTATTCTTGCATAAGTATAGTCATCTTACATAATAGCTGCCTAAAAGTAACTTATAGCGAGTAAGCATAGTCCCAGTCACTTCGTTAGAGTAACAAAAAATTAAATAAAAGGATATCTTTAAAAAGATATATATATATAGGAGATATATACAAGATATATAGAAAATATATAGGAGATTTTTAAATCTCACATGTGGTACACACACGAGTATGTGGAATACTTTAATTGACACACTGGGATTATTTCTGTCTTCGCTTTTTTATTTATATTCAATAAAACTAATGAAATAATACTAATGAAATCTATAAAAAATTATAAATATACTTTCAAGTCTAAAATAGAATCATGTGCAGAAATAATTGCAAATATTTACTTAACTGTTTCATTTTATTGCATTATAAAGAGAAATGAAAGTTTATCTAAAAATTTATTATTTTCTTGAAAAAACAAATTTAACACTGTAGGAGATTCTCTTGTCAATTTTTAAGAAAAAAATTACATATTTCAATATATCAAAAAGTATAATAATTTAGATATATGAAAATATATCATTTTTCAGCCAAGAAGCGAATAAAATTATTAATAATTTCAAGACTTTGCGATATTATTCTAATGTCTATAATTGTTCGCAATTAAGATAATTTGATTACAAATCAAGTAACATTAAACAGAGATTAATGAAAGCCGGGACGTTGTTGCTGGCATGCAAAATATTCCATTAATAGTCCATCAATAATCATTAATGTAATGACTAGTTAATTATAGTTAATTATAGTCAATTAATGAATTTTAGTGTGTAAATAATCAAACGCATTTTGATACTAAGATGAGATATCTTTCAACAATCTTAATTTAACAACCTGAATTTTTAATCGCGAAATCAAAATAAACATCATAAATAATGTCATCATAGTAGTAATTTAGTTTTTCCAACTAATCTGCTTAGCATCATGACGAAAAGGTCTAGGAGATTTAGGTTTCACACATTACATATTACAAAGCTATTTTGAGGTAGCTACTGTGTCAAATTATCTTTGACGGCAGATTTATTATTCTTACTTCGGGAGAATCTTTAAACCTAATCTACAATGTGCTGTTTGCGTTCTGTTTCTTGTCTTCTGTCTTTTTCTGGCTTAAAGCTTAAGGTTTGTGTCAGAAAAAGAAAAAAAGAAAGAAGCAAGAATCTAAGAACACATTGTGAATCAAGCTTTAGGCCCTTATAATTTTTTTTCTAACCTAATACGGTCGGTTTCATTCTTAGATGAGCAATTGGACAATAAATCAGCGGTTCTCTGACGAACGCGACTATCAGGAAGAGACATTCCAGATTGTACTTTTCGATGGAGAATAACCAGAAAGACTCGAACGTGCCAACGCGGTCCGCGAGAAACACGAAGGTGAATTCGACCTGCTTTCCACGCTCGGCGACACCCTCCGACAGCACGCAGCGAAAATTCGGAATCTGGCCTTCCGCGTGACGGGTTCGATCACTCCATGCGAAACGATAATCATCCGACGTTGGATTTATCATGCGGAATTTTCTGAAATTTCGAAATACACTGATCGTATCTTTTTTAAGAGGACAGAACAATGTAACGCTCTGAAAAAAGCGTATTTTTGAGAATTAATTTTGCGAAAATGGACTAATCAAATATTTTGAAACATTTTATATTAATTAAGTAACTATTAAATTTTATATTACTATTTTTTTGTTATTTAAAAAATTTATAAACAGCACTTATATGCAGCATGTGGCCAGACTCACGACTGCGAAAAATATCGCTGCAATCGGCAAAAAAGATAGCGCCCATTTATTTTGACCTAAGTTCTAAAAAGCAAAAAGTTCCTTAAGGAATTATATCTACCGCAAGCCTTAAAAAAAACATGCTTTTTTGGGATTTTTTTTTATTAAATAGAAAATCTTTTATCTCCGTTTTTTTTTAATTTAATAATATATATATTCGCATTTAGTGAGACCCTTCACTCGTGTTTGTTTATGCGAATGTCAGTATTCAGATCAGAAAGTGACGCGAGACACCGTTATAAAATGTAAATTCTTTGTGTACATTTCGGATAATTAAAATGTCTTACAAGAAAACTGAACCGATGTGTGTTGACATCGAAGAGTCAGCGCGCGGCTTTCTATCAAGTTCTGCCGCGGCAGATTGTGGCGAGTGATCGAGTTGAGTATATCAGCTGACGGGTGCAATGAAGCGTCGGATTGTTCGGTATGAATAGAATTGTTTGAGGGTCATC